GCTCCGTTCCCGGGTTCAGACTTCAATGAAGTCCCCCAAAGGAATTGCACAATTTCAATTGAAAGACGCCGTTCTGGACAAACTCCAACTTGGGAATTTGCGCAAATGAGCCCCAATCGGAAGCAATCAGACGGGACCGGGGGCGGGGCCGGGGGACTCTGCGATTCCCCGAGAGCCACTTTCCTGCCTGTTTTACGTCTCTCCCTGCTCCACAACGCAACGGATTCAAGTGATCGTGATTGCTTCAGACTCCTACGGAGCTCGCTGATGAGCTGATCGCTTGAATCATCGGGTGTGTTGAAGTCGAGGGGGGTGGGAGGGGGTGGAAAACAGGCAGGACGTGGCTCTTGAGTTCCCTCGCCCTGCACTCGACGGACAGCGTGGCATGAAAGTCGGACAAGGCTTTGGGGGTTTCACCATGACGCGGCTTCTTGAAGGTCGAGCGCTCTTTCGAAAGGCGAGGGATCGTGCAGGCGGCAGTTCGGGGAAGCCAAACGGCCGCGCGGGGCGACGGAGGAGTCGAGATCAACATGAGAGCGTTGCAATTGAGTTTTACGGAACACGTAAACCTCGCTCGACTTCTACTTTTTCGCGGTGCCAAAAGTCAACTGCGTCGCCGCTCGGAAGGATTGCGTGAACGCATGTCGGGCCGGCAGCCGATCCTGAGCATTCGCGCCACCAGACGAGAGGTTCTTGCCCGCGCGAGTCGAGCGGTCCAGGAGCTCACCTTGCTATCTGAGCGTGCGGGAAACAGGAGGAAAGCGATATTCATAGAGCGTCTCTGGTTACTCGAGCTGCACTGCAGCGTCTCAACTCAATCACGCCATATTTTGCTTCCCGGCAGCCGAGTGCTTACATCAGCCGCGCCTTTCTGAGGTTCGGGGTTTGAATGTCTGACGTTTCCTTGCTTCCAGCTAGTTTGCGTGGGATTTTTTCCTCCACCTTCTAAAAATCCGGCACGGCAGGTAGAAGAGAACAGCCTAAATTGCTCCAAGGCGCCGGCCGCAGTTGCATCGGGTATGGACGCGACGTTCCATTCCAGTCCTGCGGGTGGCACTACTTTGACGCGACGTCAGCCGCGGGAAGTCGAGCCACACCCCCAACGCCAACTCCTGCGGGTCGCGTCGCTCTGCTCAGCCAATCACCGGCGCGGCAAAACGAGTCCAGCACACTTACACAGAGAGTCTCCCAGTGCTTTTACAATTCCACTTGACCGTTATCCCGACCGGAAAGACGACGGAGCTAATCCATCGTGTTTTGGTTTTTTTTGGGGGGGTGGGCTCAAATTTTGAAGTGGCCCCACAAACTTTGCACGAGTAACCGCGGCGACAGTTGAGCCACGAAGCTGGAAGAAGAAACCAACCCGTCAGTTTTCAGATGTGGCGAGCAAGCGCAGGGGACGTTTCGCAGACAGAGCGCGGCGCAGTCGTGGGACTGATGTGGCTCAAAGTGCCTCGGGCGAGAGAACAGAGCCAACGCTCGCAGAGAGGAGACGCCGATTCAAACAAGACGCGTTCCGTGTGATGTGAAATAAAGTCAGGCAGTAAGTGGGTGGAATGCCAGATGAATTGCCGTGACCGTCGCAGCTAATTGATGATGGCCGGGGGTAGCCGGCAGCGAGCTGCCGTCACAAAAGGCAAACTTTTTTTGAACTAGTTTAGAGTTTGTCAAGAGTCAGAGAAGCAACTTGGCAACCATCTTTGTCACAAGCCCCCTTTTTCAGCATTTCCACCAGAGCCGGCATTCATCGAGCGTTTCCATCGCCCTTCTTTCCGCCGTCTCGTGTGCAAGGTCGCGTTCCGCAGCGGCGGTGAAGCCTCTTCCGCTTTTAAAACGGCACATCAGAGATGGATCGCAAGCACGAGAGCCAGAGTTTATTCGAGTGTCGCTTTCAGACGTGGGGGAGGGGGTTGAAATCGGCTTGCAAACATGCTAGCTTCCAACGTGCACGTGAACCTCCCGCGGAAGAACGGCACAACCTGCTTCTGAATGAATGGAGGCGTTTAATGATTAACGAAGCAAAGTGGGTTCGCCCCCCCGCCAGCCATCCACCGCGGCCGGGCCAAACAGGACTTGTTGAAACTCGGGTTGTGTTCACAAGCGGCGGCGAGGGAGAGAAACGGCAATAACGTCTCCCTTAAAAGTTAAGCTCTGAGCTTTGGCTGCCGGCCAAGAATGAAGAGCCGTCTTTTTTTTTTTTTTTTTTTTTCCCCCATCTTAATTTTAAACAACGGGCTCTTCTGGGGAATCGAGCAGGAGTGGCGAAAACCGGAACCGAAAATGATAACAAAAACCCCACGACAACGTATCCATCTTTTTTTTTTTTTTTTTTTTTTTCCCCCATCTTAATTTTAAACAACGGGCTCTTCTGGGGAATCGAGCAGGAGTGGCGAAAACCGGAACCGAAAATGATAACAAAAACTTTAGCAGTTACACAACCAGAAATACCCCAAAAGGCCCCCATTTGTTTTCAACTTTGTGTTAAACTGAGAGCATTTCATCAATACAAAAAAAAAAAAAAAGATGGCATCATCACTGCTCACCGGCGGAACGATGGGATCATTTTACATCTGACGATCCCATCGATGAATCACTGACGAGTCTGCCGAGTTCAAATGAAAAGAACGTTTTGGTTTTTTATCTTCTTGACGATGAGATCGGTTGCCTGGCGTTTGCCGCCGACACCCACGTTGTCACGTGCGTGTCAAGTCATGGTGAAAGGGTCGAGAAACACCACGATTATCGTCATGACTCACTCCTGGAGATGAAGAGTCTGTTTTGTTTGTTTTTTTTTTTTTCTTTTTTGCAAGGTCAGATTCGTCTCCCCCAAACCTTTGAGCATTTATCAACTGGCAGAAGTTCTAAATGAGGCCTTCAGAAGGAGCCTGCCTCCGCGTTGCCGGGCCCGGCCGCGGAGCCGGCGATCCATCTCGAGCTCCGGCGACTGCATAATTATGTGCAGTTAAGCGTGAGCCCCGCCGAGGGGCGAGAAGCTCGGCGGCATGGCGGCGGCTTGTCATTACGAGGTCTGTTTGAACCCGGCGCGGAATAAAGCAGCGCGCCGTTGAGAGCGCGCCAACGCCGCTCATGCGCTCGCTCGCGTGTCCTGCCAAGAGCCTTGTTTCTTTTTTTCGATGTGACAAAATCCATTCCCGACATAAACACTGCAACGTATATCATCCGCCGACGTCGGAAAAACTCCGGAGCTCGACCTATCGAAACGGTGTCTTACGCACATTTTGGCGTCATCCGATGTGATTGATGTCTATGGGAGCTTTTCGAAACATATTTCAAGTTTTGCGAGCAGAAATGTGACATGGGAAGTTGCTGAGAAGGCGGCGACGTCGCGCTGACGAGGACAAAGCGTCGCCGTCCGACATGAAGAGAAAAACGCGGCCGTGCGGAGCCGCTATTTATCCGCCTGAAAACAAGCAAAATTTGCAAGTCGGAACTGCGATTTCAAGCGTCGGGTTTGGACAAAGCTGGGGCGGAAGGAGCGTAATTTGTATCCAATTGTATTTCTGCCTGGAATGGGCACCCAGGAAAGCGTTTGGTCCAACTCGAACCTTTTGGGGCTTGCGTCAATGCTCCACCCACACAAAACTGAGGAAAACTCCATTTTAAAACCATTGAGCATCACCCATCTGTCGAGTGCATGTGGTTAAAATCTGGAAGCAACTGAATGGAAAAAAAAAAATGGTTTTGGAAAGATCCGTGGAAAAAGGGCAAAGTGAGCAGACACTCTCTCTCTGTAGTAAACCAAATTGGCAAGCTTCCGGAGTTGACTTTTTGAGACTTTTTTTTGGCTCTCTTCATGATCGACACATCCACCAAATGTCAATGTGCGATGTGAAACTGGCTTCTGGGGCTGAATCCCCCCCCAACCAAAAATGTCAAAACTAGCAACATGAAGTGCACCGCAGCAAATGGCAGACTTCCTTTGTGTTTTCAGGCACGACTTCTTGAGTCTTTTGTGGGTCTCCTCGCGAGAGACTGAATTTGTATCAAATTTCAAGATGCCCTAACTCAGCCATTTCAAGGCTTGCAACTCCAACCAAACCAAACGCCGAACTTGGGCTCGGACTGGACTTTGAGCAGAGTGCCAATGTTCACTCATGTCGAAGTGAGTAAGTAGGATTCTTTGCCCTCTCAAATGACTTTTCAGGTGACTTGAACAACTCTCTTGTCACGTTGCTGACATTTATGCCAAACGGGTTGAAGCAAGTTGAGCCCGAGCAACACCTTCAATCCTAAAAACACGCGGCAACACCTCAGCAGAGATGGTGTCCGCCGACCTCGCTCGTGATTCTCTCCTCACCCATCTTGACAAGATGACCGGCAACCGACCGGCCGCCATAGGAAGGCTCGAGATCGGAGCCGCGCTGCTCCTTGGCTGGGGCTGTCATGCATTTTGCAATGTGGGAGGAAAGCGGCGTACCCGGAGAAAAGCCACGCAGGCAAACTCCAGGCGGGAAGGCCAAAGCACGGTATCGAACCGCGCACCTCCGCGTTGTGAGGCAAACATTTAAGGCTAAAGGAGACCGACCCCCCCCCCCCTCAAAAAACTCATCACACCTGACATGTTTTGCATTGGCTTTTCGCAAGCCGACGCATGAGTGAGGACATTGAAAGGACTTCATCTCCATCTCACTAACAAACAGCAGAAGTCGGGCCAAAACAGAACGGCCTTTGTTCCCATTGTGGCTCCTGACCACCTACTAAGGGCCCTTTGAGAGGCGCGCTCGCCCTGGAATGATCAGGCTCACACAACCCCCCCCCCCCACACACACACACCTCCCAAGGCTCCGCAGGCCTGTGGAGAGCAGTGGGCCAAACACATCCTGCCCATCTCCTGAGAGATTATCCAACTCAATGAGCACATTGATGCCAGAAAAGACTGAAGGTGG